GGAAGCTGGCCACTCAGGAAGCCAGGTAGTGAGTCATTACCTGCCCCCTGGCTTCCTGATTAGCTAGAAAGCCAGCTCCATGCTCCCTCGTCACCAGGTGACGAGAAAGCATGGAGCCGGCTTTCTAGCTAATCAGGAAGCCGGGGGGCGGGTAATGACTCGCTGCCCGCCGGCTTCCTGATTGGCAAGCTTCCTGACCATAGGAAGGACGCCAGGTGGCAAGTCATTACATGCTGTCCGGCTTCATGATTGGCCGGGAACTGGGCTGCATGCTCATTTGTCACCAAGTGACGAGGGAACATGGAGCCGGCTCCCCAGCCAATCAGGAAGGCTGGGTGCGAGTCATTACCCACCTCTCGGCTTGCTGATTGGCCGGGAAGCCAGCTTAATGCTCCCTGGTTTGGGATTCCTGTTAGGGATGCACCGATACCATTGATCATTTGGGCAAGTACTCGTACTCGATACTTACCCCAATACCGGAAATTCCAGTCAGAGTGAGATTCCCTCTGGCCGGCAAGTGCCGTGGGAGAGCATGAAGCCGGCTTCCTGGCCAATTAGGAAGCCGGCTTTACAATGCCTAGCGACACTGCGAGGCAGTCTGGCTTCCTGACCAATTGCTAGGCTCAATACAATATTGATTTTTAAAGTGTAGACCCCTAAAAATGTGATATATTTCAGCCAAACATTTCTTAGATGTTGTGTTTGTGTGATTTCTTAGATGTATTTGTGTTTTTTGCCAGCAACACGAAACATCCTAGGAAGATAATCCTCACAATGTATCTATGGAGGAGCAGTGTTGTCACCCTAGGTCACTCTTTTGATTCGGGCTACTATCTCTTCCCTCTCCTCTTCCTCCATAACAAATGGACAGATGTTCTATAGTCCTTAGGAGGTAGCAGTGAAAAATGCAAATTGATGGGAATGCAGCACAGGCAGAGTCCACTGGACGTTATCAGCTGGCACATTTCATGGTATAAATGGTATTAACAGACCAAAATGGACCCAGATAAGTCAGACTTTGCACACTCTGTCTTTCACTCTCTATTGGAACCTAATGAGCTGAGAGCTTTTTTACGTCGTTCCTGTAGAACATCTCACAAACGATAAAACATTTAAACCATATCAAATTGCTGCGTCCCAATGCAAGCACATGTGTCATAACAGAATGATCTAATTCAGATCAGATTATCTAAAAGTCTTTATAAAAAAAAAAAGTGTTTTTTCCCAAAGATAAACCTTATTAAAATGAACAACTGTCAACAAATAACAAGTATATAGGTTGGACGTGTTTTATGGCATAGCCCCTTTTCTCACCTCCAGCCATGTACACTGAGCAACTGATAAAAGGAATATTACCTTAAGGGTCAGTCTTTTTATGACGAGTGCTGGCTCTGAGCTGGTAGACATTGGTTTTCCAACAAAGTGATACAACATCAGAGTGTTTGGTGAATGCTTCTGCTGAAGCTGAATCCTGTACATAGAAAATGCAGCTAGTCATTAGGAGCTTAAACTGCTGACCTGACCATTGTTCATACTGATTCTATAGATTAAAAAAACAACGTACCATTACAGCACAACAAAGCAAAAATCACATTCAGTGGCATTTTGTAGAACTGCTTGCATCAGAGGAATATGTTAGATGCATTTAAAAAAAGAAGAATGTTAAGCTACAACAAGTTTACAGCCAGGTCAGTCATTTATAACCTAAAACGTTTAAAGAATAAAAGGTCAAGAATTTTTTTTGTGAATAAAAAAAATGATGCGTATATGTGTTCTTTGTTGGTATACCACGGTGGTATAAAGATGACATAATATATATATATTCTATATTAAGCAGATGATTTATACATCATCCCCCCAACCATATGCTGGCTAAATGCCGCTCACACTGAATTTTGGCCACAAGATCACCTTCTATACACAGTGTATAGACGTGAGTACGCCGAGGAACATTCAATGCTGCAGCCTAGGAGAAGAGAGGTTTCAGTGACCGGAGAAGCAGGCAGCCAGCTCGGCGTTTTGGCTGAGTATAACTTTTTTTTTTTAGACAAAAATGACCACTTAACCCTTGCAATGCCAGGGTAGCACCACTGCAAGGGTTAAGAACACTTTTGCCTGGAGTTCTTCTTTAAAAATCATCTTAGTCTCACATCTCAAACTTAGTAATACTGAAATCAGATACAAAAAAAACAAAAGAGTAAGGAATTTGGCTTGTAAGATTTAAAAAAAGTGGATCATTAGAACTTCCATGGATGTGCATTATAACAATACCACAAATAAAAGACATCTACTGCAAAACATGTCAAGACCTTTACAGACATTATGCTACAAATGTCCATGTTTGAGGATTTCATTATAGCTTAAAACTGGTCATACTCTGTGCATTTCTTCCCCTTTAGCCATGTGGGTAAAGAAGAAAAAAAATTTTGATTTTTCCATCTACGATATTTAGCCCACCGGGCTATTGTATTCGGTTACTGTTTGGCAGAGAATTTTTGGACTGTCTCCAATGACAAAATTTCATTTAAAAAACACTTTTGTCAAATAGAGGAGTGCCAACAGGGCCACACACTGCTTGCATTTTGGCCAGGTCAGCAGGACTCCAGCATTGCATTGCGTTAGAGAATTTTTCCATAATGTTCTGTCCCAACAGGAACACAGGAGAAATCTCCCCAAAAGGCTACAGGCAGCAATAAAAAGCTAATCCACCCCCCACTTTATCCACCATGAAATAAAAAGTTTGGAATGGAATTAGGTATTAAACAGCAAGCAAGATTTGAAATCTGGAAATCCAGAAAGGCTAGTACTACATTTTCCATAGCTGACGTGAAAATGTTAATCTATTATTAGACATAGAAAGATAAGCAAAAAAACAACACACCACTTTGATAGGAGAAGGGATTTCCCTGAGCCTGGTCCTCCTGTTATAAGGAGAGGTGGGATAGGAGCTGGGGCAGCCACCAAATCATTCAAACGATCATAATACTAAAATAAAAGATAGAGTTATACAGTGTGTGGGGAAAAAAGAAACATTCAATCTACATATCAGCTAGGACAAAATTGTACTCAAGACTAAGCCCTCGTTCACACCTAGGCGTATTGCATATGCGCGACCGTCGCACGTTTTTTTTACCACGATTTGCGGTAAAAAAGTTGCGCGACCGTCGCGTGATTCCGAAGGCTACTTGGCTGTATCCCAATGGAAAACGCCCTACAAAACGGCCCAAAGTAGTACCTGGACCTTTTCAGGCGTGGGCCGTTTTGTAGGGCGTTAGGGACGGGCGGAAATACGGCAAGGTGGGAACGAGACCATTGACTACAATGCAATTTATATTTGACCGTTTTGTAGAGCGTTCGTCGAGCGTAGAACGCGCTACAAAACGGTCAGGTGTGAACGAGGGCTAAAGAAAACGGGCTACAGTGAAAAAGTAAAAAAAAAAAATCAAAATGAATAGTCCTATAATATAGATGTATTTAGATATAAAGTATACTGTAGATAAGTGTATAAATGCAATCCAGGATTTGGGGACTAACAGAATCATTTCACGTCATCTACAAGAAATCTGCCATAGAAGAAACGGGATGCTGCCATTCCTGACCTTTCCTCCTGCAAAGGCCTGCAGGCTTGTTGTCATACTAACCCTCTTGCTTCAGTATTGCGAGTCACCCAGACTAAGTGCAAATAAGCACATCTGACTTCGCTGTGACTTTTAGAACTCATTCACATGGATGTGCACAGCCATACAGCGTGCATGGGCGTGCAGAATCCTGTGTCCAGGAGGGACAGTTGTTGCGTGTAGCCCAGTGCAGCTGCCTATATAATTCAATGAAAGGGCACAGTTGCACACAGCTACACGCCAACCTGAACTTGCACATTTGTACAGGTACAGATGCACACCCTTGGATGCACACTGTCTGCATTAATTTGCATGGGTCATCGTGTAGCTGTATCCTGTCAGACATGTACAGGCAGCTACCGTACACGCAGCATCTGTCCCTCCTGGTCACAGGTTTCTGCATGGGCAGGAAAGCTGAAGGACTGTGCAGGTCCATGTGAATATGACCTTATTATATGCATTCCTGTTTCAGGTCAGTGACTCAGAAAGTATTGAAGCAATAGAGTTTATCTTCCGGATAATGGCAGGTGGTAAGATATCCCAGATATGTTTGGAAGTCATGCCCAAAATGTTAAATAAGGTTTCTGTACCCCAAATTATTTTATTGGAGTCTACTGAGAGACACAGGAATTCTAAGACTTCTTAGCCAGTCGGGTTGTGTATATTTAGCTCCTATCAAGCTGTTTATGACCACTCTAAGGGTTCGTTCACACCAGCAGCCTTGTAGTGCTGCCAAATGCATGAACAAAGTAATTTACCTTATGTCCTATGATTTCACTTCACATCAAGGCACTTTGTTGGTGTGCGCAGAACAAAGATATGTTTCATTTTTTTCACAGCATGTTCTGATGTGCTGTAATGGGTTGCAATGGGTTGAAAAAGCATATTGCAACATGTGTAAAAAAACACCCTGCAGTGCAGCGTGGGGTAGCACTTAAAATCCCATGCCAGGCATGTGTGTGGTATGCACAACGCTTTTATTTTAGTGTGAACAAGCCCTCAGAAGGTCATTAAAACTAAACAGAGAAGCTATACAGAATTTCACTATCAAGTGCTGTTGTAAGTAGGATATTGCACCCCCCAATATAAATGGGCGGTTTGGGAGGAGACCTCTCCTTCATTCCTCAGAGGGGTCAGGGGATTAAAAAAAAAACTGCAGAGCCTGCACTCACTTTATCAAACCCGAGCTCACATGTTGAATGAGATGCACACTCACTTTATCAAACCCGAGCTCACATGTTGAATGAGATGCATGCTGGAAAGCCTCCATTTGCTCCTGCTCATCATGAACATCCCACAGGACATCTCCAAAATCATCATCTTCCTGGATTGCTGTATCATCTTTGGAATCGGGGTCTGATATCTCAGCAGCCAACAAATCCTGCAAAGAGAAGGCATTTCTGCTACTTGTATTGTAACACTAAATTCATAATGAATGGGTCACCTTTTCCTCTCATGACAACTATACGTTTTAGATTTCCCTTCACTTTCGGTCTTAAAGGAGAACTATGGGGTCAGGGCTTTTCCCCATAGTTCTCCATAGGGTAACGGGAGAACACAAACTAGCGTCCTCCCGTTACCCTAAGCTCAGTATTCCGCGAGCTACAGCTCGCGGTATACTGAGACGCCACAGCCGGAGCGGATCCCGACATCGATGTCGAGATCCGCCCAGCTGCGTGAGTGACAGCTGGCTCTGCCTATCTAGAGGCAGAGCCAGCTGTACCCGCCCCCTCCCCCGTCCGTTCCGCCAGTCAGCGCTGGCGGAGCAGGGAGGGGGGAATCCAGCCATGACAGGATCGAGAGGTGAGTGAACGCCGGAATATGTTCGCTCACCTCCCGATCTACTAAGCCGACCTGTGACAGTCTCATTGTCACAGGTCGGCTAGAACTATGAGGTGAGTCACCTCATAGTTCTCATTTAATGACAATGGTAGGTAGGACAATTGGTGGATTTTGACAGGGAGGAAGCAGAGCTGAATAAAAAAAAAATTCTCTTTACATACACTTTAGGGGTCTATTTGTAAACAATTCTCAGAGCCATTTGCACTCTGCGAGCCTCTGTGAACATGCATTCTGTGCGACTAGAGGCAAAAAAAAACCATACTTAGTATATTTTCTTTTCAGGTTGGATGTATTATTCAGAAAATACTGTATTATGGCCACTAGAGAAAGATGAAGAACATAGGAAATGCATACTTTTTTCCTATGCATCTCGGCTCCATCTAGTGGCTAAAATGCAGTATTCTCCAAATGTTACATTCGACCCAGAAAGAAAATATACAAAGAACGTCTGTTTTTGCCTCTAGTCACACAGAACAAACAATTCTAAAACATTCAGGGAAAATGGCTCTGCAAATTGTTTGATGATTGGACCCCTACATTTTTCCACAGTTTTTGTGCTGCCATAAAAAATGTGGCTTGGTGGCCCAAAACAAATGATATTAAGATGGTACAGAGCAACAGAATGCTATAACATGAAGAAACACAATAACCAATAAGCCCAAATACCTGTTTTATGACCTTTTCTACTTGACAATAGGCCTTATAAACTCCTTCATTAGGATCTCCGCTGTGGTCAATGATCTGAAACATACACACATTGATGACTGTATAAAAACACTTTGCCATGGATACTCCTGTCTACTACAGCTGAACGGGGTCTAGGGTCAGGAAGTTAAAGTGACACTAAACTCCGGATCTAAACCTTAAAAATAAAGTACCCTAACTATCAACAAAAACTTATCTTATTTGTGAATCACACAGTGTAGATCATCAAATCATCTCCGAAATCATGCTCACACTGTCCTTCCTTCTGGAGGGTGGATACTTTTGTTCCCCATGGTTCATGTGTGTGTTGTAAAGTAGCCACTGCTCCAAGCTCGCTCCTGTGATGGCATGCAAACTCAAGTTTAGTTTGCTAATTTGTATTGGGATTGTAGTCCATCATAGTAGTGAGTTTGGACCAGTGGCTACTTTACAACACACACAGGGATCACGGGGAACAAAAGTAGCCACCCTCCAGAAGGAAGGACAGTGTCAGCACCAATTCAGAGATTATTTGAGGATCTACAGCCAAGTGATACACAAATAAGGTTCAGAATTAATAGTTAAAAAGTACTTGAATGCATTTTTAAGATTTAACTCCTGAGTTTAGTGTCACTTTGGCCATAAATCAATAGAATTCAGTTTCGAAATTTTAGTAAAATTCATTCGATTTTCTAATCGCTAGTTTGTATTCTACAATAGTGAGGAGGAAATCACTGGATCAGGATGGAAAATGTTTCTTGTTTCTTATCTGAATGAACAAATGAACAAACTTCAAACAGCAAATGTGATTTTGGTTCGGGACAAATTGTACACATTGTAATGTGCATGTGCTAGGCACAAAATAAACCAGAAAAGATTCCATTTGAGTAGCAGGTCTGGTTGAAATGTTTCCAATGAAGATTAGTTGACGTGATGTGGCAAGATGGAACAACGATTTCGAACAAACTTTTGAACGAAATTAAACATTGTATGGCCATACTAACGTTTTAGTGAGAAGCTTGTTAGTGGATTCCAATTTTTTTCCCCTCAATGTACACATTTTTAGTCAGTAAATGAAAAAGTGCAAAAACAATATGGAAAGTGCAGTCACCAATGCCAACAAATCAGAAACATTTCTACTTCTAATTAGAGTAAAATGAAATCAGATTGGAACGGATAGGTTAGTGGCCTTTTCTTCCTGCTCTTTTCACTATTTACTGAATTAGCTCTATTGGCTTCTTCAACAAGGTTTTTCAGTCAGGAAATCCAAAATGCAATGGCATTATAGGAAGACAAGCAGACCATAACAATCAATCATAAATAACCTTCAAAGCTTAAAGTGCAGTTGTAGTGCAAATGAATAGTAGTATTTATTTTACAAAAATTGCCACAAAAAGCTTAAAGGAGAACTATGGTGTTAGGGCTTTTCCACATAGTTCTCCTAAGGGTAACAGGAGGACACAAACTAGTGTCCTCCCGTCACCCTAAGCTCAGTATATACTGAGACGCCGCAGTTGAAACGGATCCCGACAATTATGTCTGGATCCGCCCAGCTGTGTGAGTGACAGCTGGCTCTGCCTATCTAGAGGCAGAGCCAGCTGTACCCGCCCCCTCCCCCGTCCGTTCCGCCAGTCAGCGCTGGAGGATCGGAGCGGGGAGGGGGGGAATCCAGTCCCTCCCGTCACGGCTCTCTGCTGTGACAGGATCGAGAAGTGAGCGAACGCCGGTATGTGTTCGCTCACTTCCCGATCTACTGAGCCGACCTGTGACAGTTTCATTGTCACAGGTCGGCTAGAACTATGAGGATGAGTGAAAAGCACTCACCTCATAGTTCTTCTTTAAAGAAGAACTTTGGGGAGTGTGAAATACACTAATCTCAATACTTAAAGCCAACGTGTGACACTGCAGGTGTCACACATCGCTCTATAGATCGAGAACTGAGGGATCACACACCATTGATCGCTCAGTTCATGGTCTTCTCCCTGCAGAGACTGACAGTCACTGCTCACCACAAGGTTTCTCCCTCCCCTCTCTGTTCCTCTAATGCTGACTGGAGGAACAGACAGGAGAGGGGGCGGGCACAGTGTGGCAGAGCCAGCTGTCAATCAGTTAGCGGAGTGAATCCCAACAGCGTCTCTGCTCTGTCAGCATGCCCGCTATATATGGTAAGTTTTGGGTAACAGGAGGACATTAGTAAATGTCCTTCTGTGACCCTAAAGAGAACTATGAACAAAAAAAGGTTTGGCCATAGTTCTCTTTTAAAGTGCAATTGTGGCTTTATTTTGAAATCTCCCTATGAAGTGAAGCTGCATTCAAAAAAAGAATAATAATAAATGCTGCAAACCTATTTCTAGCAGAACTTTCTGGGCATCATGCTGGTGACCCAGACCGCTGTGCTTTGTGTAATCTTAGCAGTCCACCATGCCCCCTCAAATCGTAGTAAAATAAATAAAACTATAATTGGGATTTAAATGTAGTTATTTTTTTTCTAGTTTGGGGTAGAGTGGAAAAGAGTTAATATGTATACCACATTGTCATTTCTGTCTCTATCCCAATTGGGGGAGATTTTTCCTCACTTCCTGTCCATACATAAATAATAGGGATGCAGTTGTCACTAAGGTTGAGCTCAGGTCTGGACCAAACCCAGAAGTAACCTTTCCCCTACATAGAAGGAAGCTCCACCCAATCAGCTGCTGGTGGGGAATTCTCAATCTGCAACTTGACGTAAGCAAAGGGGTGGGATGCAGTCACATCCTTGACCTTATATGGCTACTATATGCCTATATTTGGTAAATTACATTTACCTAATATGGCTATGTGGCCATATCAGGTAAATAACATCAGCACAAGCATCCCGTTCTTATTTTTACAGGCAGCTGCAGGCGGGGAATGTCCATACTGCAGCTGATTGGGTGGAACTGTCCATGACACATGTTCGGAGGAGATCAAGTTTGGACTGGGTTGTCATCTAGACCAAGACCAAGTTGTCGCCAAGACAGGAAAACATAGGCACAAATAAAAGCATGACAGAGGTTTGAACTTTTTCCCCCTCTATCCAAAACAGAATAAAATGTTATGGCTGGAACTTGGTCAAACAAACCAGCTGAGCCCATAAATTCATTAAATAAAACTTGAGAACCATTAAATAAAACATAATATCACAGGCCCCATACATATTATCCAACACAAATCTCTGTTCCTACCTTGGTTTTGTTTGATTTATTCGGGTCTTGTTCTATTAACTGCTGCATGCAGTCTAAGTCACTGGCACTGCCCTCTAATTTGTGATACACAATCCGAGGCTTTGCCTCAGTATTCTTCAAAAATGCTTCCTTACAGTCTTCCCACAATGAACTGCATTAAAGATTTGAAACAGTGTTTATTAAAATCAACTCCAACCCGTCAGTACTTGTGTATACAGGTATCTGTGAAACAAACTGGTCAGGATTTTACTGTGTTTAATGCAGCTCAAGCAATCTCTACCAATCGTATGCCTATAATGGTGCTGAAAAGTACTATTCACATTTATGAACCTGCAGGGGGCACACTTCAATTTAATAAACACTGTCATTGCAATCTTACTTGATCTGCGCTAAACATAGGGAACCCTAATGGATCTTGGGTGCCCAAAGTTGCCCATTGTGCACTATATCTTATAAATATTAGAATACAGTTTGTAGGATAATGAATAGGACATTTTATTAATCTATGTGAGGACTCTGGCCCTAAATGATTACTACAATTTAAGGTCCCTATCTCACATACATACTAGGGCCATTTCAGACAGCAGGCTATTAGCTTATCAGCATGTCTTTGGAGTGGGGGGGGCAGAAGAAATCCATGCAGACAGTATCTCTGTCATACCTGGGTTCAAACCAGGGACCACAGTAGGCAGAAGTACTAACCACTTAGCCACTGTGTAGATCTAAACTTTAACTGGATGCCATTTGGTTTTCTAAAGCAGTATGTATCATAAATATAATACTGTTTTCACCTTTTGTCATACCGTTTTGCAGATCAGTTCTGCTGATCATTTCCAGCCTCTTTCAGCTATTTCCTATCTCATTGGTTTAGCTTCAGCAGTGGGCACACAGCATTGCTCAGGACATACTTCCTAACATTGACAAAGATTGACAAAGATGGACCATGCCTGCAGAATGTGTCAGCACAGTGGCTTGTAGTCACCACATAACAGGAAGTACCTGAACAAAGCCCTTCATAGCAGGTAGTGCTATTAATATCCATGAGGCAACACAAAAGGCTCTAGACAATAAGCAAGTGTCCTTATGTAAATGGATCACGAGAGAGAGAGAAAGAGCAAGAGATTTTTTTTAATGCAACCAATCGATTAGTTGAAAAAATAATCGGGCAACTAATCGATTATGAAAATAATCATTAGCTGCAGTCCTAGTACGGAAAAGGATGTCACTGCAGTGACATCTGATCCCTACTGCTCCGATCAGGAGGGGATCCGTGCACAGATTCTCTCCTGATCAGCCCATGTGAAAAGGGCCTAATAGAGGCATTTTGAAGGTGTTTTAATTTTACCTCTACTTCTACTTTTCCTAAGAATCTGCTTTAATAGCATAATGCAAAGAGCGAGGTTATGACTTGATAACTGAAAACTACTAGTTACAGGACGGCTTTTAATATCCTTAATTGCACTAAACAGATAAAAAGTGATATCTTTGTGCTATAGGTTAAAGGATTTCTAAACCCTCCGTTTTTGCTAAAAGTTTTTGTTTTTGTTTTAAACCGCTTTAACAGCAGTTTAAACTTACCCCGTCTTCGCGCGCGCTCCCGTCCGAGAATCCAAAACTGCTCGAGTGGCCGCAAAGCATCTTGGGGAGGGCGCATGCGCAGTTCGGATTTTCGGCCGGGAGACGAGCAGAGACGCAAGGTAAGTCTATGGACGCGTGCACCCGCATGCAGACACCGCGGGGTCGGAAGTGCCAGCAAGCACAGAGGAGTCAGCGCTGGAGCGGAGAGCCGCCGCACCGCTGGAGGGACAGATGAAAACATCAGAAAAGAAGATCGGATTAAGAGACATCATTTAATGTAAGTGCTAACATTAACATTGGGGGGAGGGAAAACATTTTTTGACTTTAATGTCACTTTAATGTACAACATTGCTCTTTCTGCCATGTTATTAAAATATGCAAGATTTAAAAATGACCGTACTGTTATATGAATTGATAAAATGTGATTCCCTTCTGAATTCATGAGATGTGCTTTATACCTAATACTACTAGTTCTGGGGGAGACAGCGTTTCAAGAATTCAGCCCATATAACATACATGTAATTAAGACAAACCTGGTCAAGGAAGAACAAATGAATAATACAACAAGGGAACTCTTTTCAATTTCCCACTTCCGCACTGCAGTGTAATGGTTCCCACATTCTTCAGGGAAACAGACAACTTGGAAGAAATAGCCCAAATTTTCACACATCCTCTGTAGCTTTGAAGAGTATTCCTACAAGAAAGAGTAACAGTTGCGGACTCCAAATAATACGAGAGTGTTAGATATCCATGTAGATTGATCTTACCTTTAGGAAGATGTCTACTTCAGGCTGAGTATCCTTTGTGTTTATTAGGTAACATCGTACAGTGTTGCTCCACACAGCCTGTGAGAAGAGAGGGGTGACTTGTAGCAGGCTAGCTACTGCTGCATCCCAGTCATCTGCAAATCATGAGAACATAAAACTGGTCAGTGTTTACATACCACGTAGGCTGATAATAAACTTAAAGCTGAACTTCAGCCTTCCCTTCAGCTCTGCACAGTAGCACAGGTTCCTGTCCTGAAATGAATTACTTTGATTTAATTGCACATTGTGAACTTTCCACATGGGGATTATAAATTGCAGCAAGCCAAACAGATCCATCCTTATTTAGAGGCTGGAGGATGCACTGCACCTTCCAGCCCCTTTCTATCAAGCTATACTGTCCTTGGCCAACCCCTTTCATTCACTGGATTTCAGTTCTTTCAATCATGGAGGCTCAGCATCACACGTGGGCATTACCTCAGCTTCATGTAATGTAATTTTTAAATAAAAGAGAAAGAAACAACATGCGACACAGTGTATGTCCTGGGAAGATATGCCAAATATGATGTTTGCCGTTTTGCACATACGTACACCAAGTACCCAAGAGAAAGGAAACCGTTAGGTGGTTTAAATCCAAACACTAAGATATAAATTTTGGAGGTTTGGGTAGACTGATCCTTTAAAGCAGGGGTAGGCAGACTCCGATCCTCCAGCTATGGTGCAACTACAAATCCCATCAGGAATTGCAAGACTCTGACAAACACAAGCATGACTCCCAGAGGTAGATGTATGATAGCATTTGTAGTTTCACCACAGCTGGAAGGCTAGCGTTTGCCTACCCCTGCTTTGAAATCAGAAAGAAAACCACAAACAACACACAAGCCACATCTGAAAATCTTCCTTAATGTACAGTATATGTCTCCAGGTACAACACAATGGGGGAAATTCATTTAAAAAAAATTCACACAGCAAGGCAATGCTACACAGGAGCAGTAAAACAGATTGTGCAACCTATTTATTACAAGGTTACAGCTTGAGTAATACATTCTTCCTTCCACTTTAGTTGCATGGCAACAGAATAAAACTTTACCCTGACCACTTCTTAATTATGCATCTGTTTTGAGTCAAAATATGTCTCATCTTCAGTAATAAATCTGTCAGACCTTGCAAATCTGTCAGTTGCCTATGCAGGAATTCAGGTGTAGAGGTCATAAATAAACCCATTGTGGAGACTTAGATAAGTAAGAGGCAACCTGATTTGCATCCAACTGTATCGCTAACTTGCTTGGTATATGTCCCCCAACAAGCACAAGCTTACCTCTGTTTACATTAGCAAAGGGTCCTTCAACATCAATAGAACTGTGAGCAAACTCTGGTCCCCGAAACGACTGTTGAAGCTGCATCATGCTGCCCATGGAGGGCTCACTTCCTAAGGCTCCACTTGTCCAATAGTCACACTGTGTGCCGGGAACTTATCACAAAGATAAACAATGAATTATTTCTCAATGCTCTAGTGGAATTTCAAGATAGCATTTCTGTATCTCTTAAAAACTTAAAATGTAACATCTGTCTAACAGTTGTTTCCTTATCACATAAAAAAAATAAT